TCTGAAAACCGAACGAAATTCGACCATGCCCAGGGGAATTTTATAGACTAGGGGTGAGAAGGAGAAGACACCATTCGCGGCTATTACCCAAAGCACGCAACTCTTCGCGCGGAAGTTTCTTCTTCAAAATTCGGTCCTATCCATCGAATTTTCTTTTAAAGAAAATTCGAAATTAAAATTCTAATTGAATTTTTTAACATAGCACCGAGCCCAAAATAAAAAACTCGACCCCAGCCAGGGGCTCTGCCCCTTGGACCCCGCAGGGGCTGCCGCCCCTTGAACCCTGCTCGGGGGCGCTGCCCCCTTGGAACCCCCGGTGTAACGGGTTTTATATCGTAACAAACTCAATGAAGCGTGCACTCCGCACCTCCAAACTTCTTTGATGATTATTAGGATACCATTGGTCGTAGTTTTTCCAATTACACTAAAATATATAACATAGACCACAAACTATGTAGTATGGGACGGGACTAAGAGGTGATTGCCGGTCGTCGCACCCCGTGTTCCGAACAAAGTGATGATCCCCATCCTCAACACACCAGTCAGTCCCTACTCCCTACCTGCTGTTTGTGAATTGGTACGAACAACAAGGAGGTTTTATATATCTCGCATTCAACGCCCAACAATTGAACAATGTTTGGATCATCGCCTTCATCGGTATGTTTATTTAGCTCTACTTTATTTTTTGAGTAATGCTAGAGTCACAAACTACTGGGACACAAATTACACAAACTTGCTATTTATGTATCTCAATTTTCATTTTGTAAGCATTTAATATCACTTTATTCAATTGGAAAAATACAAAAATAGCAAGTTTGTGTAATTTGTGTCCCAGTAGTTTGTGACTCTAGCATCACTCTTATTTTTTTCCCAAACAAAACCAATTTTCATTAGTCCATTATAAACAACTTACATGATGATACTAACATAAATTTACCCTAGGCAGAAACCTAATTAACCTCTAACGACTTTTCCAAGGAGATGATGGGTCGCGGTGAATACTAGACGAGGGACAAGATCTCCGGTAAATGGCATGACATGCAGGCAAACATTTTCATGTGCACAAAGCAACGATAAACTATAAACAGAGGAGTGCACAAAGCAACGATCAAGTCACGCACGAGGCATTGATACAGTACGCTAGTGATCGGCTCACACCGTTCACTTGCACCAACGCGTGGTAATTTATGCTTGATTGGGCTAGTATGGGCACCTCGTGGTTTACAAAAAGAGTGTTAAAATGCCCATGGTTTCTAAATATAGCACACATGTCCCCTTACCTATTTTTAAAGTAAAAATGTCATTTATGCCATTTCTTTTCCTCGATCTTGATTTTTCTTAATTTTATTTTTCTTTATTATACAAATATATAAAATAAAATATACAATTTCCATCTCAAATTAAAATTTTCCATAATGTATTTTTGAAAACAAAAGATTTTTTTTGGAGAATGTTACAAAATAAAATGAAAAATAAGATATTATGTACAAAGTAAAAATAATAATTCGTATAATGTAAAGAAAGAAAAATATAAAAAAGGTAATGAAAAGAAAGAAAAATATAAAAAACAATTTTTTTCTTTAAATCCGTATTTTGTTTCATTTTTCTGTTCTTTATTTTGTTTTAAGTCCTTAAGAAATTATTTTACATTTAAATAACAAATAAGTTAGAATATTTAGTTAGAGATAGATTGAGTATATAATATCTAATTTTTTATTTTATTTATTTTACTTTTACTTATAATGAAAAGGTGTATTTCATTTCATTTTATTTTGTAACATTTTCTATAAAAAAAATATTTTTTTTTTTTTGAAAATTAAATAAATGAAAATTTTTAATTTAAGAGAGAGGGTGTATATTTTATTTTATTTATTTGTATAACAAAAAATGCAAATAAAAAAGTGAAACTTGAAGTTAGAGAAAAACAAAGGGCAGAAATGTCATTTATGTCTAAAAATAGGCAAGAGGGGGCGTCTCTGCACTATTTAAGAACCACAAAGATTTTACAAATAACTTTTGAAAGTAGAGGGATTTTTGGCGTTCGTTTTGTTAACCACGAGGGGCATCCATGCTATTACGCCATTTATGCTTGCACCGTTAACTAGCATCGATCAACGCGTGGCATCCCGTTCCCAAACTTCAGGTTTTGAAATGCTTCAAAATTGATTCCTCCACCGACAGCAGTTAGGGTGATTTGTCTTCAAGAGTGCACATTAACTTGAATGACTCCGACGATGAAGAGGAAACGTTGTCAGGCCTCCCCCGGCCAATAGTTTCTTTTGTGAGGGAGATTGTTAGGCCCCCACTCCAAACAAATAGAAAGAAAAAGAAAAAAAAAGGAGCACACAATTGGTTCGGCACCTCAAGACCTACTCCACAACCTCCTCTGGGATAAAATCTCACTAGTAATTTTTGCACGGAAAAATTACAAACCCTCTCCAATATTTGACACTCACGACCTAAAATCTAGTACACAATTATATAGATTGAAGGATTGTGTTGTGTGTTGGAAGCCTATACCCCCTCTCTATTTATAGGCTCCAATCCCTCCTCAATTTTCATATCCCACCGATGTGGGACTTTGAAGTAACACTCAACAAATCTCCCCTTAATTCAAAGTCCTACATCATTTGCGATTTCTCCAGCGATACTCCCATCCTGCAGAATCTTCTGTCCAGTAGTACTCTTATCTTCAGAGGAGATCATCTTCATAAGTGATCACATTTGCGCAAGAAGCTTCCTTCGATTTGCCCTTCTTCTCCTTTAGGATCTGCAAGTCCTCCTTGAGTTCTGGACAACCGTTCTTCGTGTGACCCAACTTTATTTAGGCTCCAATCCCTCCTCAATTTTCATATCCCACCGATGTGGGACTTTGAAGTAACACTCAACAGAGATTGTGAAATAAAAGAAGGAAACAATTATGAACAGATTGGGCTAGAGTAGTTTTTTAATTGCTTTAATTTATTTTTTCCTTTGAATATTTAAATATGTGCTTTAGAAAATTTAATTGTCATTTCATTATTTAATTTACAATTTTATTATATTAAAATTGGATAGTGTGAAAAAAACTAAAAAAAGATCATTACACAACTTTATTTTTTAAAATAATAAAATAATTTCGTTTTAATTTTTAGATTTTAGAATATAAAAAGAAATACTAGAATATACTTCATAGTATTAACGTGGTCTACCATTTTTATAATGTTTTATTTTATAGCATTTGGGAAATGAACATGTATAAATAGATGAGGCAAAAATCTAATTTAGTTTGTTAGCTAAAAATTAGCACGCCCATTAGATATTTAATTTTAGGGTTGTTCCTATGTGCTAGTGTTTATTGGCTTATTGCAGATAAACAGTTTTTAACCTCTAAGAGAGTGTTTGGGAGTGTGGTAAGTTATGTAAAAGTAGAAGTCATAATTTAGAAGCAGAAAGCATGTATTTGTAGCTTTGCTACAAAGCACTTCTAGACTTTAATTTTAAGTTCAAAAGCCATAATTTATAAGTTAAAACAGATTAGCAAACATTTAAAATTGTGTTTTAGTAAAGTAGAAGCTATAAGTTATTTTCAAATGCAATCCCAAACACTCTCTAAGTTGTTTATAACTCATATATTCTTTCGTGGAAGTAAAATGACTTAAATGATAGATAAATCATTTGTAAATATTCGTAAATAGTGAGAGACAACTTTATAAATAATTTGGTCAAAATCAATAAATAAAAAAAATGTCTAAACAATAAGTGGTCAAGACCTAATTATTTTTTCTAGTTTATAAGGAGCTTATAAACATACAGAAAAATGTCATTAGCTAATTTATAAGTTAAAAACTGTTTATAAACAATTTTGATCAATTTATAAATATTGAAAAATATGAACTTAATATAAGAACATGTAAACCTTCTATATTTTAGCATTTGGTTTCTCATAGCTCTTCCCTTAAAATTTAGCCACTCAAAAAAGGACCCATTCAAAAAATAAACAAATGGACGAGGCTAAAGCTCTTTCGTTTAAAAAATGGTAGGGGACTAGGGGCACTCCTTCCTTGTCCACAAAAAAGGCAAGAAATTCAAAAAAAATAAATAAATAAAAATAAAATAAAAATGTATGGTAAAAAAGAGGGTGGTGTACATTAGTGTACCCCTTTGGTGCATTCCTATCATTGCTTATTTCCTTTTATCTCCTACACCATACTTTTTGGTACTTTTTGGTACTGGGAACAGCTGGTTTCCGATTTGGCGGTTACGTATCGAGATTTGGGAGTTGCACTATACTTCAACGAAAAACCAACTACGTGGAGTATCACTCTTCTTCTTCTTCTTTGCTCAAAACGAAGGCTATCTCCATTTAATCTTGAAGATCAAACCTTTTATCCCCTGAATTTTTATTGTTAAAAATACTCTTTCCCCACATTCATTTTCTTTCTTTTTGGTATTTTTCCCTGTTCTATTGGATTGAAGCAGTTAGCAAGAAAGGGTACAGGTTAAGGATATGGGATTCCTAAGCACTTTCTTGGGGATTATTGGGTGTGGGATTGGTTTCCCCATTGGTCTTTTCATTGGCTTCTATTTCTTCATCTACTCCATCCCTCAAGAGATTCAGGTAGGTTGGTATTTTGGTCCTCATATATTTTGTTCTTATAGCAATGCTGGTTTTATTTTGCTGCCCTTATTAGATTCTTGGGTATTTATTTATTTATTTATTTACAAAGGTTTTTGCTTTGATTGCCAATTGTACATTTAAAGCTTGAATCTTGATGCCATTTCTTACCATATGACTTGATTTTCCAAATCATTTTGTAATACTCGTAATAGTAATTGATAATCAGCACTAAGCCTCTCCAATAAAAAAATTAATTTGGGAATTAAATTCTCTCTTTTCATAGAAGTAGAATAAGATAAGCACTGTTCTGGACAATTTGATCTTTCCATGTTTGCCTCTTTAAATTATTGGTGCAGAACTTTTAGTCCACAATATGTTTGTGATGGGGATTTATTTTCTTGAAACAAGCGTGGGTCGATGATCTGCTTATTTTATGCCCAGGTTCGTGGGAGTCTACCGGGTTGTTGCTGTTGTATATTAGTTCTTTGATTGAAGTAAATGGTTGCAGGTTGTGAGTATAGACTTCCCAATCAAACAAATTTGACGGAAATAGATGGAGGACAGTTATGATCAAGATTAAATGACAAACAAAATATTACCTGTCATTTCAATCTATTTTAGGGAATCATGATGTATTTCTGAAATTCTTTTCTTTTGAGAGAATAAATTCTAAACGCATGGATGGCATTCTCGATATGAAATCTTAAGAATACTTAAAAGTCGCCCGTGATTGCAGGATCCAAATATCAGGCCTCTCTTTGAGCTTGAGACTGATATATTGCAAAATCTTATTCCTGAGATTCCACTTTGGGTTAAAAATCCAGACTATGATCGAGTACGTGGATCCTTGTTTTACTCAAGTGAAACACATACACTCTTTTCATCTCAACGATTTTTGCTTCAAATTTTAGGGCACCTAATAAAACCTCTCTGGCTGTTCAATATGCAGGTTGACTGGTTAAACCAATTTATACTTGAAATGTGGCCTTTTCTTGACAAGGTATATGCATACGCTGCAAGACTGCGTCCTCCTTTTAACACAGAATTTTGAAATGAAGAAAAATGACACGTTTTTTTTACATATCAAGACGTTGGGTTCCATTCTAAAAGGTCAAATTGATACGAGTAGTCCAAGACATTATATGTTCAGATTTGTTCAATGTGGGATGACTTTACCATCAGAGTTCAGTTTTTTCTTTAAATGCCACTTATTCAGTTTGTCTAACACATATAGGCTATTTGTAGCATTATCCGGAGCACGTGTGAGCCTATGTTTGCAGACTACATAGGGAAGTATATGGTAGAGAAGATTGAGTTTGAGAATCTTACTCTTGGAACTCTTCCACCAACCATTCAAGGCATGCTTCTGCCTCTCTATATATATATATGTGTGTGTGTGTGTGTGTGTGTGCGTGTGTGTGTGTGTGTGTGTTCTTTATTACATCCTCAACTCTCAAGTTTTTGTGTTATTAAACACATGCATTGACAGGTTTAAGAGTGTATGAGACAAATGAAAAGGAATTAGTGTTGGAACCATCCATAAAATGGGCTGGAAATGCAAATGTCATTGTCTCAATAGTGCTATTATTCGCCCGAATCAGACTCCAGGTTTGTAGAAACAAGAGATTGCATCCTCTTTATAAGAATGTACATTTTTGTTCATATTACTGTACACTACGTTTGGTTCAAGGAATTTGAAAGGGAAAATAAAAGAAACTGAGATGGAAAACAATTTTTCTTGTTTAGTAAGAGAGGAAAAGAAAATAAAATAAGGAAGGCAAAATGTATTAAGAGGAGGAAAAACATAATTTCTTCCATTTTGGTAAGGAAAATGAGAGAGCATCATTTTCTTTTCTTTCCCTTCCAAATTCCACGAACCAAACACAGTGTAAAGAGAAACATTTTTCTTTAAAGTGTTACTTCTGCTTCTTCTCAGTTGGTGGATTTACAATTTTTTACGCTGCCGCGGGTTACTCTGAAACCTCTTGTGCCAACATTTCCATGTTTCACAAATATTGTGGTGTCTTTGATGGAAAAGGTAAGCAAAATGTTACAGTTTCTTGGTGATCTAACGATAGAGAATCAATAGAACAAGTAATATGTGTTTTGCAGCCACACGTTGATTTCGGATTTAAAGTTCTTGGGGGAGACTTCATGGCAATTCCAGGCCTATATCGATTAGTTCAGGTGTTTCATTCTCCATTATATTTTGGGATTTTGTTGATATTTCATTTTTACATGTCAAGCTGTAACATAACATTAGTGTTTTGTTTTTCAACAGGAAACTATCAAAAAACAGGTGACAAAACTATACCATTGGCCCCAAACTCTTGAAATACCAGTTCTATCCCCAACATCGTAAGCTCATTCGCTCTAATATTTCCCCATTTTCAAAACAAGCATGTTTGGTAACGCCATATTTTCCATCATTCATAGAGTGACCATGAAGAAGCCGGTTGGAATATTGCACGTAAGAGTGGTCAGGGCTGCAAAACTCCTGAAAAGGGACTTATTGGGACTATCTGATCCATATGTCAAGATACGGTTGAGCGGAGAAAGGTTTCCCGCCAAGAAAACGTCCATCAAGAAGAAAACACTGAACCCCGAATGGAATGAGACTTTCAAGCTTACTGTGAAGGACCCACAGACCCAACTTCTCAACCTTGATGTCTTTGATTGGGACAAGGTTTGCCTCTTACTTATTGCTATTTCCACATATTTGCTCCCAAATAGAGCCTTAGAATCAATACACATTTTAGATGCATATATCATTGTTTATCACGAGATCTTCACAAAAGTATGCGTATATGATTGTTTATCATTTGACTGTGGCCTTGTTTGAGAACAACATTTTAAGTTAGCATTTTGAATAATTTTTAATGGTGCAGATTAACTCTGAAAATGCTAAAGCTTAACGTTGTTATTAGATAGTCTTGTCAATATTCTAAAGCTAAATGCTAAATTGTTTTGCCCAAAATGCTAAAGCTAAACGTTGTCATTAGATAGTCCTAATTCATAATCTTTGACCCATATTTATATACATGCATATAGGTAGGCGGACACGATAAACTTGGGAAACAAGTATTTCCTTTGAAAAACCTGAAACCGAACGAGACAAAGGAGGTGACTCTAGACCTTCTAAAGAGCACGGACATAGACAACGATCTTGACAAGAAGAAGAAGCAGCAGAGAGGGAAACTTGTGGTTGAGTTGACATATGCTCCTTTTCGAGAAGGTAGCGAGGGGTTTAGTGGTCATTTTGGAAGTTTCAATTCATCAAGCAGTGAAGTTAATTCAACCACAAGATCAGCAGGCTTGTTATTGGTCACCATCATAGGAGCTCAAGACATTGAAGGATCTCGTCACAACAATCCCTATGTGGAGATATTCTTCAGAGGTGAAAAGAGAAAATCTAAGGTAAAGTAGTAGTAAACAATTGCATTCTTTTCATCTTTTTTTTTTTGAAAAAAAAGAAGTTTTTGCGTTCTTTCATAAAAAAAACTTGGTTTGATTGAAATTAGTGAAGCAGGTGATGCGGAAAGCGCGTGATCCGCAATGGGACGAAGACTTCCAATTCATGGTTGAAGAGCCTCCAATGAATGAGAAGATTCACCTTCAGGTCAAGAGTAAAAAGAAAGTCTTTGGCTTTAGATTCTTCAAGGTACAACATATGCCCTTAAAAAATCCTGCAACCACATTATTCGTCCACGAATGCTTTAGAAATATATATATATATATATATATATATATATATATATTTATGAATCTATTAATATATTATTAGGAAGCACTGGGGCATGTGGACATAAACCTTGATGATGTGATCCACAACGGGAGGATAAACGAGAAGTACCACCTTATAGACTCAAAGAATGGAATCATACATGCCGAGGTGGGATGGAAAACCATATGAATATAATGCATGAATCACACAACATATATAGAACACACCTGCGTCAAAGTGTAAAAACCATACATTATAGCTTGTACGTTAGTGAACCACACGATGATGAATGATTATACGTAGAAATTTTTCCTTTTCATTTTTTTGTTTTGTTTTGTGTTGTATTTATAGATGCTGGGATGCATTCTTCCCTTGTATCTCTATACGAATTTGTTGTATTTACGCAAACACCGAGCAAGTTTGTGTTTTTTTGTGTGAAAAAAAACAATAATTTATATATGTACATGTGTGATGTGTCTGTATATATATTGTAATATAGATTGTTCTTGGGTTCTCTTGACTTGGACAAATATAATTGTCAGGAACTGAACTCAGGTCTATCTTTCCTTTTTGGCACCCCTTGTCAACCACTAGTGCCACGCCTTCCAGCTTCATAGCGCAGTCAAGATTTCTTGAATCTCATCACCTCATTTGAACCTCGTGTCTCAAGTTCCAAACTCCATTTTTGCTCACACAGAAACTATCTACATGTACACTTTACAAGCATGATATATATTTGTAATGCAAATGAGTTTTTTCTTTGAAAAGTATGCAGTAATACATGAAGGTTTTGATGCCATGACCCCAAAGACATGGAATGGACTAAAAGACATGTTTTTCAAGAGTTTTGGGAGAAAGCATCTACACTTCGACTATCTTTCATTTTACAATCAACAATCTATGTTCTTATTAATTAGCTTGAACCCACGTGTCACTTTATCACTATATTTGGTTCAAGGAGTTTGGAAGAAAAGAAAAGAAAATGATTTTGTTGAATATTACCTCTTAGTTATTGATCTAATTTTTTTTATTTAAACTAGTATTTTGACCCGTGCGATGCACGGGGTCGAACGAAACTGTTGTCGATTTTAAAATTTTTCAAAGAAATATTTATTCCAAAATCAAGTAAATATATTTCTGTCACAAATTTTAACCAATGGAAAACAATGACAAATAGAATATAATATTTGAGAAATTGAAAGTGTACTTGAAAAAATCTTTTTTAATTCTAAATTTTTTGAAAGACTTTAGTGTACACAACATTTTTTGTATCGTTGTAAGTGTTTTTATTTTCATCTAGAACCAATATTTTTATTCATGTCTTTTTCTTTACTCGTGAAACAGTAACATAAAGATAACCATGAGTAAATCCTGAATTGGTTAAAAATAATATAGCAAAGGACAATGTTTGACATTGACTTTTGTTTATAGTCATAGCAAAACATAAGACTATTATATTGAGAATTCTATCAGATGATACCAAATTTTATTCAGGGTATGTAAACCTTTTTCTCCAACGCGATTTCTCGAAACATCAATTACATTGATAATGTTCATCCACATCTCTTTAATGATTAATCTTTTACCAATACACAATCCATATATTTGTTCAATGTTCTTCAATAACATAATCGGTACCCCCTTTTAAAAACTATTTTATGGTTTGAATCCCCTAACATTTGATTTCATTAAGAAGAATTGAACTGTTATCTAATTGTCTTCAACAACTACATCTAAATATGTTTGGCATGAAGAATGAGAACGCAAGTACTCTTTTTTACCTCTTAGAATAAGGGATATGACAAATTCATTTGTCATTTAACAAATTCGATTGTGGGTGCTAATAATGCACTATCCTCAAAAAAGAATAATTTTTCATGTTCTCTAATAGGTTTGGATAAGTAAAGTCCAATATATACTCTTGAGGGGGTAACTTGTGTCAAGCATCAAGAATTCAAGCGGAATTTCAACGTCAGCAGTTTCATCGATCACTTGTCCAAGTTTTCCATCTTTGACTTTGCTTATCAATACAGAAAAAGATTATGTGCCCCTATCAGTGCAAGAGCGTGTAGATAAATGCAATCTCATATTCTTAGCTAACCTATAAACTTTACATTACAATCACATTTGTGAGAATTGGTGGTAGCACCCACAATTTCCTCTCTCTACGCTATGAGTAGACCTGAAAGAATTTGGATAAAATCACCTCTGATTATAGCTGTTTTCCCTCCAAATGGTTCATTTATGAAGTTATTATTAAAAAATCTCATTACATCTCTCATTTTTCCGAAAAAAATTAGTGGGTGACTCATGGTACTTGTCAC